AATTTTATAATCTGATGTTTTGATTAAGTGTTGTTTTATAGTCTCATCTGGCCACTGATGCAGCTACCAACCCCTCCATGCCTTTCTGTTTTGGATTTCTACCAGCTACATAATTCCGTAAAGCCGTCCATGTGGATTCACTTCCGACTGCATTCTCGATCTTCCGGCTTTCTTTCAACACTGCGTCAGTACCAAATAAACATTCTACTTTGTCCATCTGTTGCCTATCCTTCTTGTCACTTGGCCAATCCTACTCTTCCATGCATCCCATACTGATGTAATAGACATGAAGTTATTAGAAAAAACGATTTCTACAAGAAAAAGGATTGGTGAAATTATCAAAGAAATGTGACGCAAAGTCATTAGAATTTTCAGGAATTCGTATACTTTTTGAAAATTCAGAAATGAAGTAACTTTCAAGTTTCATTCTTAAATGCAGCCAAAAAAAATTAAGGATGCAGGGGAATGGGCACTTTGTCTCAGAACGAATGTGCTGAATTTTGCTTCATTTTACTATAGTTTCATTTTAACAAAATTTGAAAAAATTTTTGCTACAGTGTCGTTGTCTAATGCATTTAGGAGACTGTAGCTCGAATAAAGTCTGGCTACATAGGTATTTTCTTTTTTAAACATTAATGCTCAAATATTTAAAGACATTGTTTACATCGAAGAGACTGGAGATTTGGCTTAGAGCACGAATGTGCCGCTGAAGTAGCTGGAATCGAGTGCTTTGTTACGCGAACCGAAGCTAAAAACGTAACACTTTTTCCTGTCGTTCTTGAATTCACAGCGTCACACTAACTTGGTACTTCATACACTTCGTGATGGATAAAGATGAAAGTTCATGAAGGTGCAATGCGAAGAGATAGAAGTCCAATCCATCTAAATCTGCTTATTTCAAAAAATACGCTTTCATATTCCGGGAAAAGGAAAAAATGGAATTCTACACATTCATCAGTAAAAGCTTTTCTAAGATTATTAGTTATGACAGTATTTAAGAACATCTACACTGACAGAATACTGGCTTCTTTACACGTATTAGTTTCAACAGTCTTTGTACATTTACAACAGGCTTGGTACAGTGCTAAGCACAGTTGCCTAGGGCTGTAGGTTAGGATTCTACAAGTCCATTCTTTAGTATCGTGAATAGAGAATGGCACATGAGTCAAACCTGCCATCACCTTGTGGAAAAAGAAACCTCCGACAACCTTGCAAGCCGGCGGTTGCTTTTAGCAGGTTCAGAAACGCGAGTTCACCAGAGTGCCATCGCCTTCGATAAAGAGTGTATTACAAAGAAAATTTTGGCTTTTGTCTTACACTATTATTTTCATTAACATTATAAAGAGGTTCCTAAGATATCAAACGTTTTAAACTTTTATTTGTACTTTAACTTTTCGCACCTTTACTTTTCACTTTTATTCTTAGTTTTCACCTCTATTTTCATTTTATTTAGTTTCCTTCTGTCAGTTATATTATTACCACAATCTTTTTACTGAAAAAGTCCGGCTGTTGTTCTAATTAGGAATGTATGCAACTTTACGGACTGAAACATTCGTGTTTAGAATTATCATTCTTATTTCAGTTTTCCCGCATTCTTTTGTTCTAAAGTCATCAAATCTTCTTATCATACATTTGCCATTAGTATATCAGCACTGCCGGCTTCCTCGGTTGTATTCCGATGGATTTTCTTTTATATTCTACACTAGTATTTATTACAAAAAATGCCTTTTCGCAAAAAATAAACAAACAAGACACTTTACAGCACATTGCATGCGTTTTTGTGCGTAAAACGAAGCCTCGCTATACGCTTCTATTTTCGCATCCAAACGGCAGCGATATCTCGGATCATCTCATTGGACTTCCGAATTTACATGATGCTGCAAGGTATTCGTGCAACCTTTCACCTCTTCCACCCAATTCTCTTTGTAAAAATCCCTACATCCAGCTTTTCGTCATTAAAAAAAAAACTTACTGTTCTCTGTTTTTCAGATTTTTGAACTGCAACGTATGCTCGTATGATTATAGCGGCTATGGCATAAGTGATGGAACTCCCAGCGAAAAGAACCTTTACTCGGACATTTGTGCTGTCTACAAAGTTAGCATCAGTTCCAGTTTTCTCAGACCCTGTTCCCTTTTAAAGCAAGACTTGCCGCTGTTCTACAGTGCACGACCTCAGCCGCATACTCACTTTCGGGAAAATGCTGAGAGAACAAAGGGAAGAATGAGGAACGGTGGGCCACAGTTCT